AGGGCTAATTCTGGCTCATTTAGCCCTCCTCTCCAGTATCACAGTGGTGCTGAATGGGAGATTACTTCAGATGCAAAACCAAGCAGCCAACTAACCAACCAAAAAATCCTGCAAACCCTCAAGATTTGCGTGCAGGGACAATTCTTATTTTCAGTAGTTTATTGAAACACCAGGTTTCTTCTCCATTCTTCAGAAAGAAGGCAAATAGTTGGTGTGTCACCAAAGGAAATGAGTGCACTTGGCTGAAGACTCCAGATTTAATTGCAATCCTGACCCAAACACACTGGGTTAAGCATTCATCCTGAAACCAAATACAGGAAGAAGAGGGGAAAAGATTTCCAAAGCCATTTTATTACTCAACCCAGACACCTAACGTGAGCAGAGTGACCTAATCTCACAGTGATATTACTTTTACTTTGGGCAGCAACCACATCTCAACCTTTCTCATCTAGACATAAAACTCTTGAGCCAAAGATGCAATTACATTCCCAAATCCTCCCCATGTTCGGTTTAATTCTATTTTCCCAATTCACCCTCCTCTTCCAATAAACCCGTCCAAACTAAGTATAGTTAGCACTTACCCCAACCCTAACTGCAATGCAAATTAAAGGAGTTAACACTGGCCTAGGTCACAAATCTCTGCTGTTAGTGGGCTAAAGGCTCATTTGTCATCACGGGGGGTCTATGCCTCAGCTCAAGGTACCCACTGTACCTGGCAGATCAGGTATCAGGCCAGAGCAAACCATGCACAAACAAGAAGCCAAGTTGGAGGGCAAGAACAAGGCTCATCCTTTCCTGCAGAGGTATACTATATGAAAAAGAACCATCTCTTTTTAACTAAAAACAAACTGTTTATCTTTACTCTCTCGATGAAAACAAAAGTCTGGGGAAAATCTGATGACTTACATAATAGATTTGGGGATAGAATATCTTATAAACAGGGTTACTTTTAAAGTAAGCACACTAAACACGTTGCCATTAGAATGCAGTATTGGCACATGTGGGGCCTTCCAGATGCCTGGAGTCTGGACATGGTCTCACATGCGGACAGCGTTGGGAAGCACCCAGAGCAGATACCAGGACATTGCTCTGCTTTTCTAGGCGTCCTGAAGACTGACATACACAAGATTGCATAGTTGACGTCCATAGTATAAAAAATCGGAAATAGAATACAAATCTAGACTACGTTAAATCCCAGGATCCATATGCTTTACATTAATTCTGTAAAACATGAAGCCCAAACTAGATAAAGACAGCCTTAAACTAATTATTCATTCACGTTTCTTTTAGATTTCACTTATCAAAGGATCAGCAGCTCACAGAAATGCTAAAAAGTTGAGTAATCAGCTGATAAACTGGTAAGCACTCAGAGCATGTCCCGTATATTCCAACTTGAAATATATCTTCCTGAAACAGAGAGCAAAGACAAGTTCAGTACTGTCAAACTTTCTCATGGGATGAGCAGCCTATCTAAATTCAGAAGCACTTCTCTGCTAAATAAGGATGAGAGTAAAGCCCAAAACGACTGTATGAAACACTTAGTCCTTGAAAACATTTTACAAAGCAGCTAGCAGACCATTTTTACCCAGTGTGTACAGTTATAAGCCAAAAAAACCTAACCCTCCAGCATGCAGCTTAACATCTCTAGGGATCGGCACAAAATCTGGAGCACAGTTTGCTGATAACAAGTTGTAAGGAAATGTAGCATGAAAAAGAAGAGTTCTTAAAAGGCCACATAGAACAAAGGAAGCAAGGGAACCTCCTTCCCTCCTTCCTTATGCCATCTTCCAAAAGGCATAAACGGTGCTGATTACTTCATCCTCTACTCTCACTGTCTACATGGGTTAAAGCTAGCAGTAACACCAGTTCTAATCTTAAAGGCCCTCAGAGAGGCATAAAATTCAGCTGTTTGAAAAATCAGGCTGTAAAAGCACATGTGTGCAGCCAACAACATCACACGGCTGGAAAACAATCAGAACTCCAAGAAAAAGCAAGTGAACAAATCCACAGAAAGTTGCTTGAGTTGTGATGCACCAAGAACACTCCAAAGGTTCCCTGCCAGTCCCAAAGCTGTTCAGGACAGTAACCTCACATTTGCATGGGTCATGTCTTAAACCACTTTCAGCAAATGTTTCGGGGAAGACTTCCTCACAATGAGCTATTTCTCACCGAGTAAAACACTTCATTTTGATATATAGCTCCTCACACACACTTACATTCATTTAAATGAGTAATGGTACTCACCAATTATTCTTCTAGTGTAGTAGCATTATAGCTTTGATGTTCAGTTGGTAGCACAATCAGTTCAGAACTGACCTCTCTTTTTGCAAAAAGAAACAAATCTTAAAAAATATTGAACCTGGTGATATCTCTTGTAGGAAAGAATGCATGACTTATTAGGCAACATCATGCCTACACTTAGAAAAGGCAGAGTTTGATTTTTCAAGGCATCTGAAGGACAACATATTCCCATATCACATATCCTTGGATTCTCCAGAGTTCCCACCATTTCCAGAAGTTGAAAAGCTTTCCTACCAGCAGACCCACTGCTCTGATGGATAGGGCCCAACTGGCAGTGATGGCACTTTGCCCAAGTGACTCTACCATGACTGCTGATAATTTCCTCAGAAATGATCAGTAGCAGCAAGACAAGCGAATAACAACCGATGCGCTGGTGTTGGGACAGTTCTGGATTACAACCATGCTTCCATAGGAAAGAAAATGCTCTCCACATTCAAAATTCCTATGTTATGAAGAAAAATGCAGTGCAAATATATAATTCCATATGCAGCCTTCATGCCATTCCCTGCCAAGGCAGTTTGGCAAGCAGCAGAGCTATTCCAAAGGAAAGCACACACGGCCTCCTCAGCCGAGGCTCCTTCACATTCCTGCGGCGACACCACCGAGCCCTCTTGCACACAGAGGTTTCAAAAGACAGACCCAAGCAGAGAAAACAATATCCCTACCAATGCTTGGTTTCACCTTCACACGACAGCTGTACTGCTGGAGGAGCCTGTAGCTACACGAGCACAGAAGGGCCCACACAGCTTTTGAGTTGATGGTTCTTGGCCTGCTTCAGTAAAAAAGGCTGCTTCTCTTTAACAGTAAAACCAAATACAACTTTCCAGGAAGACACACTCCCACCATATTTAAAATGAGGAAATCTGCTGATGCCACCAACTCATTTTGGAGGAAAAAATATATTTAAAAAAGCAAAAAAATACAGAATTAGATACATAAGGAACCATCCCACATAAGAAAACAGATTTCAACTACATTTTTTTTAATTTAAAATAAACAGGCACACCAGAGGGGAAATGGGGACTGCCCAAGATATGGCAGAAAAACTAACATTCAAAAACCTCTTTCCCAACAAATGCCTTCTCTAACCATATGTATATGAGTAGTTTAGCACATTGTTTTCATTGGAAGGATATACAGATTTTTTAATCCAAAAGAGAGTCAACATATCATGCTTAATTTAATATTTCTCCTACAGATTGAAAACCAACAGGAGAGTTTGGCTGCATCTTACACAAAGGGGACAAGTATTGTCACAACTACGGGTTGTGCAAGTTGAGAAACTGAAGCCAATCCACACACACAGAACCACAGAATGGTGGAGGTTGGAAGGGATGTCTAGAGATGACCTAGTCCAACCTCCTGCTCCAGCAGGGACACCCAGAGCTCGTGGCACAGGGTGGCAGTCAGGCAGTTTTGGAAGATCTGCAGAGAAGGAGACTCCACAGCCTCTCTGGGCAGCCTGTTCCAGGGCTCTGTCACCCTCACAGGAAAGAAGATCCTCCTCTCATGGAGACAGAGCTTCCTGTGTTTCTATTTGCACCCATTACACCTTGTCCTGTCCCTGGCCACCACCGAGAAGAGTTTGGCCCCATCCTCTCTACATTCTCCCATCAGGTGTTGGTATATGTTGGTAAGTTCCGCTCTCAAACTCATCAGTGTGATTCCTAAAGAATGGGAAGACACAAAACACACCGAGCTGCTGTGCTGTAACGGCTGCCAGTAGTTTATCCAAGACGAACAGCGTTGACTACAGAGCAGTTCAGAGGTACAACTTACTGCAGTTTCGTTTTTATTTCAGTTTTAATAAGGTCCAAGAGAATATTTTCAAAGATCAGACTTCTGAACATATAACATACTGGATCAGCCTTGGCCATAATTTTTATGGTAGGTGTCTAAGTGACAGATTCACAAAAAAAAAAATCTAGGACGGAAAGTTATTTTCTTTTCAATTTTCTGGATCTCCTATTTCCAAGTTCAGAAATACAAATGAAATTATGTTATAGAAACACCATCATTTACTCTTATCACAAAATTAACTTAGAATTTAACAAAATTGTTAATGAATATTATTTGCCACACAAGACGCGGTAGATGATGCATGTGATTCTAGCGTTTTGCTATAAATTCAAGCAAGCCTTAGTGTCTCCCTCAGTTAAGATGGCTATTATTATTCATATCAACCACATAATGCTTAATCAAAATTCTTGAAAATAGTCTTACAGTCCCCCTTTTATAGATCAGAAGTTGACCAGATAATCTTTTCTTTCATATTTACAAATCTAATTAAGTCAAGCTTTTAAAAATATTCAGGATTTTTTTCTGAGAGAAAAAGCTATCTGGTATTAATTCTACTTTATTCTCATAACTGATCTCACGGATCTCTTTTCAACTTCAAATACACACTCATCAAGCTCGCCCTGGCAAGCTTCCACAGTGCTTAACATTCTGCACAGAGCTCCGCTCGCTGCTGGTCAGAACATCTGCTACTTGCTCCTATCAGTCACGAGAGATGTGAAGGAAAAAAAGCCGAAATCATAAAGCAAAGACCTTCTTCAGCCTGTTTAAAGAAAGTAGGGATGATCTACCCACCGCTCATGTGTCTTGATGTAAACCACTCCAGACACAGCCTCCAAATACAAATGTTACAGGATTTGATTCCCCTTATCAGCGCGGTGAAACTGCTCCTTACACATCCCTTAGAGGGATTCAGCACTGCCCCTCGTTTTGCTGAGGCGCTTTCCCAAAGCTGCCCCTTCTCCAGGCCTGAGCACACGGCAGCGAGCAGCTCCTCTCCGGCTCTGCCCCCTGCTCCGCCGCAGGGCGCCTTGCTCACGAATTCCAAGGGAACTTGTGAGCGCAGCTGCACGGCTACCTGCAATGCGCCAAGGACGTCACTAGAGCTGCCGTCTTCTGCCGTGCTGTGACTAGGCCTCATGCATTCTGGCAACCTTCATGATCTTAAGGTGCCCTCTGAGGGAGCTGCTTTACTTCTACAAGGGCCTTCTCCAGCCAGGGGAAAAGGGCTAGTGTAAGTCTGTAGAGCTCGCTTGCAGTACTGGCCATACAGCTGGATATCCTGGACAAACACACAAAAGCCTTCCGCTCTTTCAGGCCAACATTTCCAGGAAGAAAAAAAAAAAAAAGGATATATTTTATAGCAAAGAAATGAAGCTTGAACATATGGTTGCCATAACCAGTGCAGTGTTAAGTTGAGAGAGAAGGACTGAAAGGATAGAGAAGTCCATGCAATTTCTTTTCATGAAGACACACCCATAGACACCACATAAACCAACCCAAATATCAGAGGTATTAGCAGTCTAATGAAAAGGAGCAAGGGAATGTGCCTTGCTAATCTTCTAGCCAGCATAATACCTTCCCGTGGCAAGAAGACTGGAAGCTAGTGGCAATAACAACAGAACAAATTAGCTTTACTGGACTGGAAAGTTTATGATTAGCATGGGAGGTCTGAAGCCTGTTGATCACAAAAAATAACATTTCACTTTGATGCATGTCTGTCAACTCTCAATACATTAAAATGTTTTCCTTTTTAAGCGTGCTTTTCAGCTGCTGTGTCTGGCCACCACCTGATCTACAAGGAAAGATCCTTAGGCTGTGTAATGCACTGCTTGTCTGAGCAGCATTGCATGAGAGATAGCAGTAAATCCTGAACCTTGTGTGCGTCTACGGGCGTAAAAAGACTTCAATTTTTTTTTTTAAAAAAAAAAAACCACAACTCATTTTTGGAAAAACAGTATTAAAATAAAAAGCAGCAGTCTGCAATGAAACTACCGAATGTTAATCATAAATTTTCCAGCAAACATATTAAAAATAATTTTTGTACCATCAGATATACAGCATCTTATATATTCTCTGGGCAATAAAAATGTAATTAGACACAGCAATCAGACTGGATGATGCAGTATTCTTGTTGTGCTTTAGTATTTGTGATAAAATGTTACTTTATATAAGCCAACTCTGTATGGGTGGGTATCTTCAATATTTTCCAGCCAAACAGTTCTTCACACATATGCCAACTCAGTCTCTGACTTAAAATCTGGATTTACTTCCCTAAATAAGGAAACACATGCCTTGAGAATGAGCCAGAGAGACATGTAGGTAATGTAGGTGTTAGTCATTTACAGCCTCCCGTTTTGCTGTTGTAAATCTCTCCCTGTTTCTTACTCATCCTGCAGTTTGAGAAGGGTTGACCATGGTCCTGTCAGAGGACTTGGAAAACTTGCTTTCAGGTCCTAGCCCTAGCACAGTCCTTATAAACACTAGGGAAATGACCTTCCCGTGTCTCTGTAGCTACACGTGTTCTCTTATAGCCCAGTAGTTCTCTCCAAGCAATCACAATAGTTAACAACTCTGCAAAGACTTCCCAAAACATCAGAACTAATTTATGTATCATATAAAGTAGTCAGAAGACAAAAGTATGAGCTATCTGCATTTTTTTGTTAATAATTTCTTTTCTAAAATGCCTTCTGTGATTTCTGTGATACACGAGTAGAACTTTTGTTAATCTTGTACGCGTTACAAGTATCTTTGTACTTCATTAAATCATCTTCAGTCCTAGAGCTACTCCATATTTAGCTCAGTAATATGTATACAGCTAAGAGATCCCAGAAATTAGTATTCACATGAGAAAACTCCACAGAATTTTAAGTAATGTTCAGAGTTAAAAATCCCATTAGACCGTTGAAGATAGGCTTCTTCAAGAACTACTTGCCAAGAGCAGCTGTCATGTTTCTGTGACTAAATCATTTACTGATAGTTTGAAATGTAGGGAACTTTAAAGTACCGATGTAGGAAACTGAAAATTATTTGAGACTGCTCACGTTATGAAAAAAAATAAAGAGAGAGAGAAGTGACAGGAAATATTCTTTGTCACAGCAGAAATAATGGTTGGATACATTTCAGAGAGAAATGTCACTGCACATCTAGTAAACCTGTGTCCGCTAAAATAACTGAACAGATCTGCCAATGACTTTAACGGGCAATTAAGTGGCCAAGGTGAATTCATTAGTACCTTTCTGTTTTCCTCAGTAGTCAGTCCTCACATTCACCTTCCTCCCTCCTGCCCTCTGTTCCAGGTTTCTGTATTCAGCACACAGAACAAACCCTGGGCAGACATCAGCTACCGATCCAGTGCAGAACATAAATTCGGGAATCTTTTGATGGAAATATCCAGACTACTCCATGTCAATCTAACACAGGAGTATTCGTTGACTTGATGGAATTAGTACAACACTGCACATTTAAGATACTTAGCCTTTTTTTTTCCCCCTCATGTAACAATAAGCACAAGTTGAGAGTCTGATGCAGAAAACCATTAACTTAATCACCGGGTCTGTTTGCACTAACCCAACCTGATTAGTCTACAGTATTTCAAATATTTTAATAAGCATTTTGTTGGAAATGTATACAAACCTATAAGTTCGACTTTTCACCAGCCTGTTTCCGAGCGGTGCGTTACTGCTTATGAAATATGATCTTATAGCAATCAGACTTCACCTTCTGGCTTTGCAGTGTTAACTCTGTTTTAACTAAATCTTTGGCACCAGAAAGTCAGAATTAGTGTGGAAGGAAGATGGAGTGGAAGAGAAACTTTTAATAGTAACTAAACCATAAATTAATTCAGGCCCATATAAGCACAGTTGGAGTGCTAAAACACTAGATTTCTTAAATATTTTAACGGAACTCTTAAATAGTAGGAAAATTACTGTTCCTCTGAGCTGGTCATGAACTAATAAATACTCTGCATTTCAGTTAGGGTTGATCTAATCAGTTTTCAATGCTTCAGTAGAAAAGCAAATTTTTTATACCTTCCAAAACTTGGTAAAGATACTTTATAGATTATCCCCCATTTTACATTAGAATGAGCAGTTTGTTTGATTTTTCATGACTTTTCAATCACCATCTGCAAGATATCGTTATGCAGGTAGCCACTGCTCATTCTCTCTGGAAAATATAACGTGTGACAGAACATTCTCAGGGCAGGGAGATCTGTAGAGCTGTGTTACCAAGTTTGCCAAATTGCCAATACAAACATCCTACCTGAAAGTAACTGTGCACAGAAACCAGAATGAAGTATGAGACAATGCTGAAAACAAAAACCTCTCCTTTAGGTCCCTGATGAACGGAACTGAGGAAATACTGTCGCTAACCAAAATCACAGGACCAAACCACAGGATAAATATGGGAAAAGGCTGACAACGGAAAGCTGTGTCAAGCAGGAGGAGGAGGAGTTGGGCTAGAATTAAGCGCTTAAACTAACTAATATCAGTGCTTAAACGGAGCCCAGAGACCTGAGACAAGTTCGATGATGAAGGCAGGAGAGCACCAGATAAAGGGTTCGGGGGAGAAGTGCCAGGGCTGAAGCATGAGCACATACACAAACGAGGCCTTACCCATCCAGGCAGCACCAGGCTTCTCTATGAAGTTTAGGCTAGCCAGCCCTCTTCAATCTTTATTTCATTCAATCCAAACTCAGCTATCGAGCTATTTGTCAGCAGAGAAATGAAATTTTTGTTCCCTTCCAGCTCTACTCCAGCACAGCAACTGCAAAAGCAAGCATGGGGTCCACTGTCATATCAGTGGAACCTCTGTATGCTAAAAAATAATAAATAATAATAATAATAATTTAAAAATCCCTGCCTGCCAGGAGACTTGTGATACACAATAAAAAGGACCCTGTGAAATTGAAGCATAATTCCCATTTGGTTCCATAGTAATAGCACTTCATATGCAAGTGAGGGTATTATGAGTAATATTTTTAAATGACTATCTTGAAATAATGAAAGAGATTATATGAAATTATTCAGGCCACAATATAAAATGCTTACCAAATACAGTTGTGGAAAAAATGAAAAAGCAAGCAAGTTATATGATAGTTTCTTGAGAAGAATAACGAATGTCAAGTAAAACATGCAAGATACAACAATTGATTTACCAGCCACAATACAGATGATACCAATAGTCCTCAAGAACACTATTACCTTAAAATATAAAAGACATACATATACACATAAAGCATTTCCTTTTCTGTTAACCATTATTTGATTTGTTTTTCCAAAGTATAACTCTGTTTTACCCATAGCATACAAATAAAATATATTACAACAGAAAAAATGAAGAATATATGTAAGAATCAGCCTTTGTAAACCAATTAAAAGACAGACTTGCAAATTTTAATCAAATGCTTTGAATCAGCTATGACTTGTGTCAGAAGGTCAAACAGAAGAAGTCTGGACAGCAAGAAACAGCCCAAGCTGGGTCTCCTCTGAGGCAGAACGATGGAAGCACTTGCAAGAGTGACATTCCGCTGGCATAAATACGAATGGTTTTCACCTGTATTTTATCCAGCAGTTAAAAATGATATAACATTTCCACTGAGCTGCAAACTTCTAACTTTTCCCCAACAGAAACTTTAGGGAGGCAGTAACATTATCCCCACGCAGTAAGAAAGAGACTGCAGGTATAAATTGTACAGAAAAGCAAAGCACAAACTTATAAAAGTTTCATAAAAGAGCCTTTCCTCTTTGGTGAGCACCCGCATATCAGCGACAATGATTGGGACCAGAAAATGCACTGACTTGTATAGCTACTGGGTAAAAGTCCTACACACTCTCCAGAGACTCTTCTACAAAAAACCATTTAAGTGATATCAAAGATACCAGTGCAGGGGAGTCTACAAAACGGAAACTTGGTGAGGTTTGAGTCTCTTCAATTAACTGAAAGTTCTGCTCCCGACATATGGAACCACTGCTGAAGATTTCCAAAAGCAAAATTTCATCTTGAATTTCAAGTCCAAGGCATCAAAATCAATATCTAGTAAACATTAAAGAAAGGTTGATGACATTTGTTAGTCAAGAAGCCTCTTCTTCCTTGCGGGAATTTTCAAATGTGCCTGAAGTTTGATAGAACTACAGATCCTACTGCACATCAAGACATCTTTTTTTCTTGTCTACCTATTTTTGTTATATATCTGCAGCAAAATGTTTTCATATTTTGTCCTTTCAACAACTGAAAAATAGCAATGCACTAAAATCAGTGGTCCAGTTGAAAAGTACATTC